GAAGAGAACAGAACAATCCCACACCTTAGGAAACACGTCCAGCTCTCTTTCTCTCTTTTCCAAGGAGTTCTTCTATTTCTTGTGTTCCCCTGATACAAGATCTAGAAAGATGTTTGAGAATACAGTAGAAGATCTTAAGGTATATAGAGATTCCAATCATACATCCAAACCGGAGACCAGAACCAGCAAGTGACCATACCACGACGACCAGGACGACGAGACGAAGAGATCGCCGTCGAGATCGCTGCCGCACAGTAGAAAGTACTCCTTATCAGTAGACAGTACTCCTTATGAGTTGGAGAAATGATCAGAAGTGAGACTGTTTGTCGGCTATTCCAAGGAAACGAAAGGTGGTTTATTTTATAGTCCTGAGGATCAGAAGGTGATCGTTAGTACGAACGCTAGATTCTTGGAAGAAGACTATATCATAAATCATAAGCCCAATAGTAAACTTGTCCTAGAGGAGTTAGGGAGAGATATCGATAGTTCCCCACCGAGTGCGCAAGTAGATACATCACATAGTACTGCAACACGTAACACTGATAGTGTGCCAGTACATATGGTACCTCGTCGTAGTGGGAGGGTTTCTACACAACCCGACCGATGGATAGGTCTTGGAGAGTCATCGGACTCAGTTCCAGGAGACCTAGAATCGGACCCAAGAACTTATGACGAGGCACTCCAAGATAGAGATGCAAATTCGTGGAAGGTTGCAATGAAAGCTGAGATGGGGTCTATGGACACAAATCAGGTCTGGGATCTTGTAGAACCACCTGATGGGTACGTCCCATTGGATGCAAGTGGGTTTACAAGAGAAAGAGGGGATCGGATGGAAAGGTTAAAACCTTTAAAGCAAGGCTTCTTGCGAAAGGTTATACCCAGAAAGAGGGTATCAATTATGATGAAACCTTTTCGCCAGTAGCTCTTCTTAAATCCATTCGGATTCTCTTAGCTGTAGCCACTCATATGGATTATGAAGTGTGGCAGATGGATTTTAAAACGACTTTCTTTAATGGGAACCTTCAGGAAGACATCTATATGCAGCAACCAAAAGGATTCATTGCAAAAGGGCATGAGCACATAGTTTGTAAGCTTAATTGGTCCATTTATGGACTGAAGCATGTCTCAAGGTCTTGGAATATTCGGTTTGATGAGGCAATCCAGTCATATGGATTTACTCAATGTCCGGATGAGCATTGTGTATACAAGAAGATTAGTGGAAGCGTGGTGGTGTTTCTTGAGCTATACGTGGATGACATACTTCTTAATGGCAACAACAAGAAGGAGTTGTCGGACGTATAGGCGTGGTTGTCTAAGCAGTTTGATATGAAGGACTTGGCTGAAGCAGGACACATTCTTGGTATCAAGATCATTCGTGATCGTGAGAAAAGAATGATGTGCTTATCCCAGTCTTCATATATAGATACTGTCTTGGCCAGATTCAGTATGCAGAACTCTAAGAGAGGTACATTACCTTTCAGACATGGATTACTTTTATCTTAGGAGTTGTCTCCTAAGACGACTGAGGAGATAGAGGACATGAAGACAGTTCCTTATGCTTCGGGAGTAGGAAGTCTCATGTATGCAACGCT